GAGGGCCTATCTCACACCTGAGACCTAAACGTTAGTCTACTTTATTTATATTTAACCCTTTATGAATCCCAGGTAATTTCCTACCAAAATATAATCTCATTGAAATAAAATGTATAAACATGATGACAATGCACAGTAAAAGGTCAAGGTATTTTGCTCTATCAGCACAACAAGAAAATATCCTCTTGCCCATATTTTTTTTAATATAAGATATCTTTTTAATGATAAAAGTATAAGTAGCCTTGAATGTTTATACACGAAACAAACAATAGTTTCTTTTAATCTCCATGGAGATTTATAATCCTGAGTGCCACTGGTTGGCCCCAGTACTCAGTGGCGTAGCTTGGGTTAATGCTATCGAACTGAAATTTGGAACATAGACTCGTTGCCAATAACAACACATTCTTTCAAATTTAGCTAGTTATTCTTGCACACGCTGACCTCTATTCATATTATAGGCGATTGCATTCAAAAGAAAACCTAAGAAAGCTAATGTAATTTGCAATGTTTTCATAATACAATATATTAATTAACTACGCCATTTTAGTTGAGTAGCAATTTCAGTTTAAACATATAACACAGTAGAGTTTTTTTTAAACGTAATTTAAAAAAAAACTAAAAATTAAAAAAAAAAAACCCCAAAAAAACCTTTTCACAGCACTCACGTGACTCCAACACATTTCCTAACATTTTGTCGCCCGGGCAGGGGCAGGTGTTTTTTTAGCATTTTTGACAGCCCTGGTTCCTTCTGCACCGGGTGCCTCGTAAGAAACGTGACATTAAAAATGATATGAATGGCAAGTGCATTATGGGCGACAAGATGGAAGATGCATGACACATTGAGTTATACACACTGGTCGACACCTATGCATTATAGCCAGGTAGCGCCACTGGTTGCAGATACAGATTACGGCCGCTGTACTTAAACTAAAAAAACTTTGTCCTCATACCGTTAACCGGTACGCAGTATATAAAATAACATTGACGTCATTAAATGGTGTTTTCGTGGCGCAAACTGCCGACCTATTGAAATGTCACATTAAAAAATGGCGTCAGCGGGCCGTCGAGCTAATGCTCTTTACGCCCTCCCCAAAGCACCCCCCCCCCAATCCCGGTATCGGACCGCGAAGCGGCACCTTGGAGATGTCCCTTTGCACACACACACACAGTAAATAAATCTCCGTCTCGTAGCAAAACAATAGCACACCCCAAAATAACCCTCGTCTCTGAAGCTGCTCCCTGTCGCTCACTCTCGGCTTGTATATCATTTTTAGCAGATTTCTCGAGGAGAATTACGCATTGTAATCGTCTCTCAAACCTTCCTCATAATTCTACAAGGTTCTAAGAATAAAAAGACTATTGATTGTAACTAATTGTAGACGAGGTCAAAGGGAGGCTATACTTAGTAAGTCACGCCTTAATAATAGCGCAGCCGAATTTTGGGGTCAGCTAGAGTTCACAGCACGGGGAAATATGACGTAAATACGTCTACATAACAACATAGTTCAGGTAACTCAACAGAGAAAGGGAGAGAAATGGAAAGATCAACACATACTGCAGGTACCTCAACAGAGAGAAGAAGAGAAACGAAAAGATCAACACATAGTGCAGGTAACTCAACAGAGGGAGAGAAATGGCAAGATTGCGCTGTGTTGGGGGGGGGGAGAGAAAGCACAGACCGGAGGTAAATAGAGAGAATCTGCAAGGACGGCAAAGAAGAATGTCATTGTTAAAATTTGGATCTTTTAATTCAAAATTAAGGTCATATCTAGAGACGGTTTGTCCGTCCCCCCCCTCCCTTTGATGTTGCCCCCGGGACGAGAGGGCGCCCCCCCCCCCCCCAACACACAAGGCCTTTTTACAGGAACACAGTTCTAAACAAATATAATTTTTTTTGTACTGGAGCGTGACATAACATTGATGACATGTGATGTCATTGATGACATGTGATAACATTGATGACATGTGATGAAATGTGATGACATGAAGTAATCGACAAACAATTGTATTTTTTTTCCAAACAGCTTAACAAAGTAAGAAACGTCTAACCAAACATTCGGGTCAGATGTAATGAAATGGGAGGTCGGGTTGGGTCAGTTATGTAAGGAATGTATCCAGTCCAGGTTTAAATCACTGGGTTACCGGTCCTGATGTCAGGTGGCTGAATGTCGACATAGTAAGACAGTTGCATTGTAAGACCTTGGCATAAGGGCGGAAACTCCAGACTGATACGGTAGTGGGAAATATAAAACAAAATGTTGAAAGGGGGGGGGGGGAGTCGACCTGATCGCAGTCCTCCCCTTGTTAAGCTGCAGACCGAACACTCTCGGCCTGAACGAGCGACCTTTCACACATACACAGTACACAGAGAGGGAAAGAGAGAGAGAGAGAGACAGAGATAGATAGAGAGAGAGAGACAGAAACGGACATAAAGAGAGAGACACAGGGAGAGAGACGAAGACAGTCAGACAGAGAGAGAGACAGAAACGGACATAGAGAGAGAGAAGAGAGAGAGACAGAGAGAGACAGACAGAGAGAGAGACAAGGACAGAGAGAAACAGGCAGAGAAGGAGAGAGAGACAGAGTGAGAGAGGGGTGGAGAGAAAGAACAAATGTGAGAGAGCAGGAGCAAATTAACCGGAGCAATTTGTGCTCTGTGACCTCAACGACGAAAAGAAAAGAGCGGAACTCTAAACATCATCTAATAGCTTTACACGTCATTGTGTGCTCCACTGAGGGAATGAATAAGGAGTTAGGATGGTGGCCCGGGAAAGGAGGGGGAAAAAAAAAAGGGGGGGGGGGCCGCGCCGCTAAGATTATTTAAAAAAAAAAATATTGTGAAAAGGACGAAAAGAAAAATATACTGCGAAATCTGTGTGTCTGCCTCTTATTTTTATAGACCTAATTGTGCTTCTTAGAGAATATTTTTTTTTTTATAGCGGATCATGGCAGCCTTAATATTTGCGGTAATATGTTTAAAAACAAGTGAAATGGGGTGGGGGTTTTGGGGGGGGGGATGGGCTGGGGGTGGAGTATTCACATTTGATCTTCTTGTGATCTATATCCTGTATACCAGTGTTGTTTACATCAAGGAACCAACAAGGAACCGTTACACCAAACATCATTGGCTGACCGAATTCGTCAGATGCGGATATTTGTGAGTGACTACAATAACAGTAAGACCTCCGCGTGGGATAGCTTCATCGAGCGGATAACATTGACAGGAATAACAAAACACGGGGCAATTGAACTCGCTAGATGGCGAGTACCGAACTTTAGTATAAGCTGATAGAAACATGGCCACTAAATGTTTTAAAAATCGTACGCAAATATAGTGCAGATATAATTATTATGTCTTTCCGTCTATCAAGGCAATGAGAACATTCGCATCAGTGGCATAGCTAGGGTTAGTGCCACCCTGGGAGGACCAAGATTTTAGTGCCCCCCCCACCCCCCATTTTCCCCGAAAAATAATAATTTTGCAATCGTTCGAAACTGCCGTCTCTCGATATATCGAAAAAAATAGCCGAACGGGGAGACCGCTCCTTCTTCCTACGCCCCTGATTCGTGTTTAAAAAAAAAAAGGCTATGAAGCAGCTCACCGATTCTCAAAACGGTGGTCGAAAGGCCGGCAAAGGCCCACAAGACCTCAGTCACCGGTCTGCAAGAGGTTAAAAACCAAAAGACAGATCGAAAAATAGCAATAATCAATGAATCACCGGTTGATCCTGTCGTGCAGAGAGATGACTCTGATGACTGGACGGTTCTGTGCACTGGCAATGTGAGAATCACGGATGTAACCTACACGTCAATGTCCCACGCATGTACGCACTGGGGTCAATGGTCAGCCTGGCGTGGCGGCTGACGAGCAGTTCGCATTACGAGATTTAAGAAACCTTTAAGAAAAACGAATACAGTAACATCTATATTAAGAATTTACAAAGTTAGTCAATTTTTTTATTTTTTTTTTATTTGTATAGTCAAGGCGCCGAAACGAAAACAAAATGTTCTTTTTACATGAACCAACTAAATTTAAAAAAAAATAAAAAAATAAACATGCTTCCATCCGCTTGCTCAATTCAACTTGGGGGGGGGGGGGGGGGGGGGGGGACACAATCGAAGGGTTAAGGTATTTCTATAGAAAATCAACTGTTTCCCACTTGCCGGCCCAGAGCAGCTGCTAAACGCAAAGAAGGACATCACGTGGTCATTGCAACTTGGCAGTGGCAGACGTTTCCTTGATTTCTATTGAGAGCCGCTGCATCAACTCAAGATGGTAATGTTGGCCACAAAAGCATTTAGCCTATATATGTTGGTCACAAAAGCATATAGCCTACATATGTTGGTCACAAAGGCATATAGCCTACATATGTTGGTCACAAAAGCATATAGCCTACATATGTTGGCCACAAAAGCATTTAGCCTATATATGTTGGTCACAAAAGCATATAGCCTATATATGTTGGTCACAAAAGCATATAGCCTATATATGTTCGTCACAAAAGCATATGCATAAGGCATATATATGTTGGTCACACAGTTCAATGATTTATTTTATGGACAACCCCAGCATCATTTTCTGTCCTAAAAATTGATATTAGTTCACTTATCCTAATGAAAATTGACAATGCTTTTAACAATGTGAATATAAAAAGAGAATGCCAAAGTTTCAATAAAATATGTTCATTTGCTTTGAATTGCAATTCTAGTTTTGTCCATTTGACTCCCAAGTCTTGGACATGAACCTTGAGCATTAAGCCTGATTCTTTAGAGAGGGTACATGATCCCGCTTGCTATGGTCTCTGGCCAAACTTCTAATATTTTTTTTTCTCAAAATTGAAACTAAATATTTTTTGGGGGGGGGGGGTTATTTTTAAGGTAGCAAGAATAAGATTTTTTTTGTTGTTTTCAAAGTTTTTTTTTTTTATTTCTTGGCAATAGAAGATTGTAAAAATTTTTTTTTTTTAAATTGGAAATAAATTTTTTTTGGGGGGGGGGGGTTATTTTTAAGGTAGACAGAATCAGATTTTTTTTGATGCTTTCAAAGTTTTTTTTTTTAATTCCTGGCAATAGAAGATTGTAAAAATGTACAAGTCATTCATATATTTACGCTACATGAATCTAGTACAGGTGGTGACATCACTGCGGTCACGAGTTGTATTCTAAATGCATACATGAACAGTTTATCTCTGTCCAGGTGTCACGACTTGAACTGATAAGATCTTTTATTCCACATCAACCAAACTCAAATCAAACTCATTAAGGGACTGTTTCTATTTTTAGAAATCACTCAGTTTAATTAAATACAACTGGACAATGGAGATTTCTGCCAAGCCTGCAGATGAATGACATCAACAACAAGGAAACAATGTGTGAACATTCATGAATTCATTTCAATATCATCCATAACAAATCTTATAACTCTTTCAAGCACTACTGTGATACAACAACATGTTTTGCAATGCATGTACAAACCACACATCTCGGGACTCCTAAATTTAAATGTTTTAAAGCATAACCTGTGAAGGGAACCTCACCAATGTGTTTAATATTTGGACCTACTGTGTGAAAGAATGAGTAACATTTCATTATTTTTTTTTTTAAACATTTCCTTCAGTTTACTTACAAAGAGATAAAGAGCCAACCTGGCAGACTTCATGACAATGATGAAAAATAAATTACTTTTTCATTTCTAATCCACTTTCACATTAAATTAAGAGTCAAGAGTTCCACAGCTAAAAATGATAAAAAGTGACACCACTAATAAGAAAACAGCCACATTGTCAAGGCGGCTTTCAAGAACCAAAATAGTGGAAGCTTTTTTTTTTTGTTGAAGTGTTAATAGTTTTGTAGGGAAGCATTAGTAAACAGATATGTCATCTCCCACAATAATTGGATATTGAATGTACATTTTAATACTGAAACATACTGCAGTTATTTTGGTGAAAATCGATGAACCATTAACTGGCCCGCTTCAAAAATGGTAACAAGTTAGCAGATCTTACAGCTGGGGAAATCCCAAAATGGTAACTTCAATAAAAAAAAAATAAGGAAAAAAAAAACTGATCATGATTTAGATAAGAGAGTTTCATTGGAATCAATGTATAGGTCAGAGGTCAGAGTACTTCACAGGCAGCAATGAACTCACCTCTTGACATATTAATTTGTGAATCTAGTTAATCAAGGTTTTTAAATAATGTGCTGCATCAAAACACAGCTTTAAAAATATACATTTAGAATTATAAGAGGACCATAATCAGATTGTCAGAGAGTTTAGCCAAACTAGTTCAGGGGAAAAAAGGGCAAAAATAACAATCAAATTTTGTGAAGCAGGACTGGGCTGCCATCTATCGTTGAGTTTGAAAACAAAAATTTGAATTATTTGAAGATAAAGAAAATAAAAAGGTAGCAATTCATTTGTCAGTTTGCATAGAATTTCCAATATTCATGAGACTTGCAACTATCTAGAAATATTAAGTAACAATCAGCAGTGTTGAGATATAGACAGCCATCCTAAAACTCTGATCTATCAATATTGGTGTTAATGGCATCTTCTTGGTGTATTTACTTTTTCTGTTCCTCATGTTTCAGCAGGCATCTTTCCAGCTTCTTTAAAGAAAATTTCCTGCAAGAGAAAGATAAAATTCAAAATGTGCAGCTGGGCCAAAGATTTAGAGAACAACAAAACAGGGTTGTGGCATTGACATGTGAAGAGAAAAAAAAAGGAAAAGCAGCAAACAAATATGTAGCAGGTGGAGGCCACTCTCTGAGACAGTAACAGTGACAGGCAAAACAAGATAAGAAACACTATTTCTCTGATTAGTTTTCTAAGTTTAAGAATTATTCAGCAATGAATGATACAGTTTATCACAGGTGTATTTTAGGCTCAATGTCAGAAAGAAGCATTGCTCATCTGATCTGGTGATCACTATTAATAGAGATGGTGGGTTTGAGGGGGGGGGGGGTGTTGGGTCAACTTTAAAGAGTTATGATGAAAATTTTGATAATTTGGAAGTAGGATCAATTCTCATTGGTACTGCACAATTTATTAATTGTTTGATGTTTTAGCTCATCTGATCTGGTGATCACTATTAATAGAGATGGTGGGTTTGAGGGGGGGGGGGGTGTTGAGTCAACTTTAAAGAGTTATGATGAAATATTTGACAATATGGAAGTAGGATCAATTCTCATTGGTACTGCACACTTTAATAAATGTTTGATGTTTTGAGCAGCACACTTAAAGAAATATTTGATATGTGGTACAAAGAAATATTTGATGTTTGGTACAACACATTTTAGGAAATATTGATGTTTTGTCAATTAGACAAAACAGAAGGAGGATTAAATTTCACTGGAACTGAACAATTTATGTGATTTCTTTAAGTGATGCTGTAGGTGATACCTAAATATTATGTTACAAATTTTAAGTCACATTCTGCATTGACTAGTAGTTGTCCCCAATAAAATAATAATACATTTTTTAAAGACTTTTAATCAAAATTTCATTTCTGTTACGAACCCAATCTTACCAGGTTCGATAGCTTCGTTTGTCTAGGGGTTATGGTAACTACACAAACCATTGAATTTATGGAAGAAAGTATCTTTATTAATGGCACAACTAAACTACATTGTCAACTGCTGCCAATACTCAACCACAATAATAATAATAAAGTTCATTTCAAAAACACGCTTCATCCCCAAAGGCTCGAAGCGCGGTACAAAGTCAACAAAAAACATATCTATAATTAATCACATTTAAAACAAACGCAACACTACAAAAACTAATTACAAGCATACAATCTCAAAGTCTTTCTAGCCACAACACATTACACAATAATACGTCATTTCCCCTTACGCAAAATATCTCCCAAACATCTACCCAAACATTCTCCAAACTGCACCCAATCACAAAACACATACAAGTCCTTAACAATTTCATGAATGCAGAATTTAAGGAATGACATTAATTTTGTTTTTTTCGTTTATACTATGACATTTGAGTAAAAAGACAAATCAATAAAATATTAAATTTTAGCTGATATAATTCCTATGTGTGGGGAAAAGTCATGAACTTACAAGTGGAGGGACTAACATATGTTTTACCAACTCATTACCAAGCCCAAGGTTTTAATTTACTTACTTAGCAATGTTCTTTCCATGGTTTTGACAAATGAGCTCACACAGCTCTGTTGACCCTTCAGCAGCACATTCAGCCAGGGTAATCAAGGACTCTGCAATTTTCTGCACATTCTCTGGCCAGTTATTGAGGTCTTTATCTATTTAGAAAAGTAAATTAAAATTTAACATACTGGCCAAATCAATTTGTGAAATTAAAAATGTGTCATGTCAACTGCAAAGGCCTGAAAACAGTAGCAATAGGAAAACAATTTTACACGATTTCACTTTAATAACAAATAAAACATCTTTCATTTTATTATTTTGGTATTGTCAAAGAAATCTGAAAAATGCATTATGGCATGGTGCACTGAAACACAAAGAGCAGACAGACAACAATCATCAATGTAAATGTAACAGTATGGTCAGGTTCATTAAATTTGACAGGAGACACTAAAAGCTGAATGACTTAAAAACAAACTTTTAAAACATTTGGTTACATCATTAACACAAAACATAAGATAATTTTCAACTCATGCAGTTTTTAAAAAAAATATTTTTACAAAACATGGGGGAAGCCCTTGATCTTATTAATTTTTTTTGAAAAATGCCTGATTGAGAAAAAAAAATCAGTCATATGCGTTTAGAGAATTTGAGATAGATCTCTGGCTTCGAAGGTCAACTTATGTATGTAATAGGTTTTATTTAAATATTTGTATCATATCCATCATCAATGTGGGGATAGCACATCTTGTATCTAATCTATTGGTAATTGGTAATGTGGAGATAATGTGTTACCTTCAACAGTCTGGAGAAAAGCCAAGAAATCTGGAATGAGGAGAGAACTGACCAGTACATCTTGTACTTCTTCTACACATCTGATCAGTGTACACAACCCTATATTGGATGGACAATTATAAATGATTTTTTTAACCTTGTAAACAGATGCCAATTTTCTTTAAGAAACTGAGAAGTACAATATAAATGAATATTTTCTCACTAGAACTGTGGGTGTGGAAAAATATACATAAAAGACACACTTTTAAAGGTGAATTTTTAAGATGATTAAAAAAAAAACCTAACAACCACATGGGTCCTCTACCTGCAATGCAGCCACCCCAAAACTCTTCAGACAGGGGCCAAATATCTCTCACTTCCTTCCTTATAGAAATCATAGAAGCTCTTTTACTGCTTTGGCGGAATTCATAAAATGTACTCAGGTACTCAACAACAGCTTTAAACAATCGAAACCTGGAATGCTTAAGTCTCTGAAGGGAAGAATTTCCTACAAGGGGATGACAGAATTTACAAGTCAATTTTTACACAAAAAGTATTGGAAGTGTTGTCATATATGTATTTTATTTTGATGCAAAGAAAAAGAATTGTGCTACATGTTAACACACATCTGTTTTTATTCACTCAAATTACTGAATTCATATTGTATCCTTCATTTTATTTCTGTTCACTTAAATATAAATACTAAGAGATAAATGTATAAATATGAGATACATTAAATTTATGAAACATTTTTTTTAAAATATCATCATGACTGACACTTTACAAAGCTTACTTTTATTTTCCCTGGTCTGTAAACGATAGGCTACAAGGCAAACCTCAATTAGTTTGAGGCACACAAGAGGAGGGGGGTGTGGCAGAGTCACTGACAGAGACCAAAACAAAAATATTTTCTTAAATTTATCCTTGCATAATTCACATAAAGATAAAATATGAATAACAATGTTTTACAAAATGGCTGCTCTATTTATTAAAGTGTTTTGCTAATTAATTGTTTCCCTTCATTCACTAAGTATGTTTTTAATGTCTTGCAGTGATTTTCATTATTTTTTTTACTTGAGACACAAAATTAAATTACAAACATTCTCCAAGACACCAATCAAGGACTAAAATCTACCAACTGTTTTGCTGAGGAAATGTATTATTATTATGTTAGTATTTAAGATTTGATGAATTAGATAATGTAGCAGCTAACTTTGTAGGTATTATGCCAAAAAAAAATTTTTTTAGCATTTAATAAAATATTTTTTTATATTTCAACATGTGAACCTTTTTCAAACCAATTGGTTGAAAACCACTTACTTATAGTGAATCAATTTGAACAAAGGCAATCTGTAAATACCCCCTTTGGAATACAATTTGATATTCTACAAAGACAAGAGTGAAATATTTCTACTGATACATTCCTTTCATTATACTGGGCTAGAAATTCACTAAAAGAAACTAGTAGACTACAACTTTGAATAACTTACACAGGTTGGGCACTGAAAGGACTGAGATCTCAAACAGACTCTGGAAACACTGGAGGTTGGCAGCGGTGATTGGAGAGTTGGTGTACACCTGCTCTATCACATTCAAGGCATTGATCGTCATGCTCTGAAACATTGGTCAGTTCATTCCTTTATGCATTGCGTTGACCATTGGCCACCAGCATTAACATGAGTGCACTATAATTAAGGTTTAAATGCTCCAGCTTAATTAATTACTTTTAATAAACTTGCATTAAATAGGATTATTCAATAAGAAGACCACATTGGCTGTGCTAAGGACAGCATGAACCTTCAGCAGGCCTTACACCTTGCGGCAGAGACCAAATTTACCCATTTGTGATGCTCCCCCAGGTAGAAGCACGCAGAAGAGGAAGATGATAGGTTCATAAATAACTCTTGTTACTCTTAAAACAATAATTACAAATGCCACAAAAGAACAGTCAAAAATTATTATTATCATTACTATTATTAGTGGTCATATAAAGCGCGGTACCCCAGCCTAGGGCTGGGCTCACCACGCTGTACAAAAACATTTTAGCAAACATAATCGTGACTTTAAAAAATAACATACATTTATTTAATTAAAAAACAGTTGCATGACAACAAAACAAAAACAAGTGTATATTCCCCCACTCACCCCAGCCATGGACGGCAGCATCATTTATCGGTCAGAGGGGGGAATCATTTGGGGTAGAAGAGTTTAAAGAGATGTGTTTTGAGTGCAATTTTGAAGGCCTGAGTGGTCAGTATATTGCGGATGTGTAGTGCGAGAGAATTCAATTGTTTGGGGGCACAGAAAGAGAAAACTCCCTCGACCATATGTTTTAGTGCATGTCTTGGGAATGGACAGAATATGTGTATCTGCGGAGGAGTGAAGCTGTCGAAGAGGGGAATATACAGAAAGTATTTCAGTTAAATAGGAAGGGCAGGAATCAGAGAAAAAGTTGGAAAGATTATGGAGGTTCTGCACCTTTAAGATGTATCAAGTATTTAATCAACTCATGTTACAGAGTCAATAGCAATGGTCATATAGACTTAGTAATAATCCATTTCATGAAATTATGCTCTGGGTGGGGCAGTAATTCACTGCAACCCCCCCCAATACTGATTGTCATGAGAAATTTAACATCTTTGTGGTTATGATGAGGAATGCGCTTTCATGCACAAAAGTCAATTAACTTCATCAGATAGGCCAAATAATGGTTACAATAAAAAATATAGGTTAGAAAAAACAAATAATTTATTTTATTAAAATAATAGGTTAGAAAAAACACATAATTATTTTACACCATCTGTGTTAGTGACAGCAATTTAGCTCACCTCTGGGCAAGTCGTACTCTTGCTCTCCAACAACTGCGACAAGGATCTCTCCAAAAAGCTTATAATACTTTGGAATGAATCGCTTCTCACCATGACCTCCAGAGCTTCCTGGCTGCTGAGCAGGAACCCATACGCAGGCAGCAGGTACCCCAAAACATCATCTGGCAAGGGCTTCCAGTAGAAAGATTGGTCTTCTTCCGACTCAGGGTCCTCAACTACTTTCTTTTTGGCCTTGGCCGAGAAGGAGACTTTCCTGGAGATAAAAGGTGGGGGTTTGGACCTTGCTTCTGATACAGCTTCCTGGTAAGCAACGAAATCCTCTATATCTGTAGCTGTGAGCTGCACATTACCATTGACTGATGTCTTGATGGGGTCACGGCTGGTATGAGCTGTCTCCTGGTGAGAGTTTTCACTCTGGTCCATAGACATGCTTTGGTGGCCCTTATATGTTGCATCATCTTGCAATGAGTTATTTTTCCATGATTCCACATTGTTGGTGTCAGTCTGTCTGAGAGGATCTGTAATATCTGTTGTGTCCTTTCTGTCTGGCATAGTTGCACTGTCTTTGTAAGGTATTTCAGAGGTGTTGTTTATATTAATGTTGGAACCTGTAATGTTTTCTGTTGTACATTGGTGGGGGGCTGATGACTGCACATTTTTAGAAGTTAATAATGGCGGCAGGTCATCTCCCTTTTCTTCAGGAATGGTTGAGATACCCATTAACTTGATATTTTCTAATGCTGCCAGAGTTGCATTCTTTACTTCCATGACTACATCCTCAGTGTACTCTACATTTTGACTGGTGAAAGATAATACAGACAACTTGACCTTCATGAAATTTAATGTGCAGAAAAATTCATTTGTTTAAAAAATAATAAAATTACAAATTTTACATACAAGGTTTCCCTTTCACCTGTATTTAAAACAATAATAAATACCACAAGAACAATATTTGCATAAATTATGTACCGGGTAATTAATGCTCACTCACCATAGAAAATTAAAAAATGGAAGGAGCTCTAATAATTTTGCTGTTGGCTCTTCTGTGATCTCAGACAACATTGCTGCCAAGGTTCTCACACAAATGAGGACAACACTGTGGTTTTTGGGCTGAAAAAAAATTAACACAATTTCAATAGTGTCCTTTTAATGTCTTCTTAAAATTTTGGTGCTGCAATTGAACCAGAAAATAAATAAATAGTATTCCGTAGTATATCATAGGTTTCTGTGATGTGGATAACACTAAAATATGTGTTGGGTGTGGGGAAAAAATTATTTCTTAAAACATTTATGAATTACTGAGACAGGTAGGAGAAAAAACTTTTGTGTGTGATAAATTCAGTTCACTTCCATCATAAACTTAATCAAAATCTATTTACTTTACTGTATAAAAGAGTTGTTTCCTCAAAATTATTTATAGCCCATATTAACTCCATATTAACATTGCACCCCCAAGTCCTAGCTTTTTTACATCTCCATGAGACATTAGGAGCCTAGCACACAATTAGATTTACCAGCTCAACTTCCTGACTCCAGACACTGCACAGAAACTCCATGATTGTTTCGCTGGTCTCCACCAACTTCCTGTAGACGGCGATGATGGAGTCTGTGTCCATGGAGTCACCAAACTCAGCCAGGTAGTGGATGACATCACAAAGCAGCTTGTTCACCTTGTCTAACTTTATGTAGCGCTCAAACGCCTGTTGAGACGACGATGCTTTGATTTCATCCCATCAAAATAGCACCCAAAACAGGGTATATAAAACAAACACATTGATGAACGTTTCAAGAATGGATACGTCTGTTCTATAGACAGGGCTTAAAACTTTCTACAAAAATCTTTTTTGACCTTCTAAAACAGATTAGTCTACAAAATATTTGACACACACAAATAATATACAATAAAATAGTTGAGTGCTGTGGGAATTTTGAAAACTAAGTTTTGATTTTTCAAATTAAGTTAAAAATCTATTGGGTTGCATCTGATGATAGGACTTTACTAAATTTTCAGATTGGCAACATTAAAGCAATCATTGTTCATTCATGTCATTTTTTATGGCAGCAAGGATGACAAGCCTCCAAGCAACCCCCAAACACTCACGCTATTAACGTCAATACAGTCTAAGAGCATGTACACCTCCACAGACAACCTGGCAACAACAGCTTTGAGAAAAGTGGCATCTCCCACGAGCTGGGGGTTCAAGACCTCTCCACCCACCGCACTGACAAGTGCACACACGAGAAACAAAACAGTGTCGCTGTCATCAGGACCTGAAAGTTGGTTTCAAACATACAAACTGGAATGTAAGTCACATGTTCATAATTTATTCTGATAAGCTAGCCATTATATATTAATTTTTTTAATAGATTACAGTAATAGTTTTAAATGCCAATAAATATTATGGTATTAATTTTAGTCTTGTCAAAAATTTTCTACAATGTTTGTAGATATGTATAGAGTTCATTAATTATTATATTGTATATTCTCTCTTAATTATTATTATTCTTTTAAAAAATACAATGAAAACAAAAATCCAATTGGCACAATACATAATAAAGTTCACCTACATTCATCATGACATTTTTTAAAAGTTTTAATGGAACAGCAACAATGACAACCAGAAATTAGTTCATCTTTGGTTTTATAAACATAAAATTACACACACCGTATCAAAGCACACACACTAACCAAGCAATATCACTAAAGTTTACTTACTCAGCTTCAATGTAATAAACTTCTTCAAGATTTTCAGTAACTTGACAACCCAGTCAAGTTGTGTAGAAACAACAATCTAGAAAAAGATTATACATTAGTAGTAAATTATAACCACATTCAATGCCTCTGATCTATTTCATAGAACAAATATTACATACCCTCGACATGGTTAGGTAATGGACTAGGAACAAAGTAGATGGAGATAAAGAAATAAACTATATTGCCTTTGAGGTAAAATGAAGGGATTTAATCTGTGCTTTGTTGACATTCACCTTTTCGCTCTACTAATTTAATAACAATCAATATATTTATTTTGAGATGACTTAGTTAATCCTGATGAATATAAAATTAAAGACAAGGTAATGGTATTTCTTTTCTTATATGTTATTGTAAGTGACTTTTTTACAACCTTTTTTCCTTTCATTCCATTACTTCTTATTCAATAGGTAGGGTATATGTGCAATGACTAATTTAAGTTGATGAGATTTTTGTTTTAATTTTATTTTTGTCATTAAATGAAAACCTCATTAATTATACTGTTGACTCCACTAATTTGTTTGTGTCTTTAATCTACTTGATCTTTATTGCAATCAAAACATCACATAATCATATTAAACAACTCAAAAAGAAAAATCAAGGTTCAGGGTGAATATTCAAGAAAATTTCAGATTAGCCAAGGCCTAAGACAGGAGACTCATTGTCTTGTTTGATATAAAACCTAACACAAGAGAGAGTTTTAAGAAGTGTTCATATTGTCACCCGAGGGAAAATCACAGGATACTTTCTGAGGGATACCCCAAGACCCACAACAAAAAGGCGCTCTTTACAACCAAAACCTTCAGTAACTTGCAGATGCTGATGACATAACACCATTTGGGAAAAGTGGTAAAGACATATCAAAAGATTTTTTTAAATTAGAAGACGCATCCCTACAAGCAGGGCTGGAAGTTAACAACCAAAAAAACAAAATACATGATTAAGTTAAGAGAAGAACTGGCAGATGAAACCATTAAAATTGAAAAACACACTTTTGAGAAAGTAAATCAATTCAAATACCTAGTATCCTTAATAAATGAAAGAAATGAATTACTAACAGAAATAATAGAAAGAATATCTGCCGGAAACAGGGCATATTTCAATAGTTACCAAATACTCAAAAGTAAAAACATTTTAAAAAAACAAAAAAGAAAACAATATATAAAACTGTAATCAGACCAGTTGTAACATACGCTAGTGAAACTTGGACCCAAACAAAAATGGCAGAAAAATTGTTAAACACATGGGAGAGAAAGGTTCTCCTGATCAACAAACTATGAATATCCATGGAGAAAATGAACCAACCAGGAATTGTATAGACTTTATCAGGATTTTAAGGTTCCAAAATGATTTCTAGTAGCAGAAATAAAAAAGGACACTTAGAAAGAATGCTGAATGACAGAGCAGGAAAGATTGAGCAACACCAAAACCCCAGAGGAAAATGGATCAAAAGCAGACCTAGGCATAGATGGAAGGATGATGTGGAAAATATCTGCAGCAGCTGGGAATCCAAGCATAGAAAAGAAAAGCCCCAGTTAGGTCTGAGTTGTGAGGCAGGCCATAGCCTAGATGGTCTGTGGTGAAACAAGGATGGATGAAAACTTCTCATAATTAGCTCTTTTTGATTTTAAAAATATCATTGGTTTCATTACATTCTTGGTACTAGCTCACCCTCTTTGTTATCACCAGGTACTTACATTAGAAGTTCCATTGAGAAAAGATGTTAGAATATTAGCACACTCAGTTTTTTCCCTCAAATCCTGTCAAGAGTAGAGCACATTTTAAAAAAATAATTAATTTATACGAGTTTTATTTTTCATTTGAGCTTTTTTCATGTACAAACTTATCCATACAACTGTATTATCCAAGCAGCACTTACTCAAATACTGACATCAATCACCAAGCAATGCCCAGTGCTTTGATGTAATAGTTAAAGACAAGTTTCGTAATTAATTGAATTTGTAATCTATGCATTTCGCATTTCTTATCTTTTATATTTAACAAAAAACTTTTGTTTCAGGTAAGGATGGTGATATTTCTTATAAATCTATGTCTAGTGAAGTGAACTTGAGTGGGTCTTTAACAAGATTGTCACCTTGAAGTTTTGCAAAATTAATTGAACAGTAAATAATAAATGTTTTTATTAAAATTCACATACAATAATATCTCAATTTTGTAACTTTTTATCCTCTTTTTTTTTTTTTAGTATAACATTACTGGTTACAAATCTAAAATTCATTCAATGAGTTTCATTTAACAATTTTTTATAATCAATTTAATATTTAAAAAATAGAGGGGGAAAAAAATGAGGAAATGAAGATGAGAAATAGTTGAAATGTTAGCAGAGACAAAATGAAATAATAGTTTTTTTTCTAAGTTTCCAACAACGGGTGAAAAGTTTAAAGTACAGTATATGAAGGATTGTGTTCAAGCTGTGTAAACAATTTAACAACAACTTACAGAACCCTGACCAAGTCTATCAACTGTCAGATCCATCAAGTTGTGAAACAGTTCTGGATTGTTGACAAAAATCCCATCCCCTTTATTTTTCACTATAAGGCTCAGACAAGTGAGAACAGTGGTACTGTTTTGACCTGAATTAGAAAGCACAGTTTGTATTGATAAGATAATATTAAGAACACAATTCTATTAAAACATAAATTGAAAGGAAAATCTGAAAGTATTACTTTTGTTTACAAATGGCTGAAGTATTAATCAAAATATTTATCAATAAATCAGAATTCTGAATAAAATACAATAATTTTTTTTTATAAATTATGCCATTAAATTAAAATAATATGATTCATCAATGCTGAGATAACTTCTAACTTTTAACAGTTGATAAAAATACTCCAAGCATATTTTCTATAGATGTGTACAAGATGTTACTTACAGTCAGCCGAAGTCACATAGTTCAGTAGAATGTTTGCTGTCCCACATTCTAAAAGGTATTCAATGGAAGTGGGATTTTGGGCTAGATTTAACACTATTTCCTCACAATCTTTACAAATGCTTTTGTAGAACTCATTTGTATTTAATAATTGAACTTGTTTGAAGCTGGAAAGAGATGTTACATAATTTCTATACCAGAGGAAAATATTGAATTATATATTATATTACGTTATATGATGTGAATTATATTTATAACAGTGAAGTGATATCAATACAGACTAACAAATACATTAAAAAGACAGAGGGAGAATGACATCAATATTTGTAAATGAATTTTTGAGATCCACAAGTTTATTAAAACGTGTCATTTGAACTTTTGATAATGGATACACACAATCAATTTATCTGGTATAAGGTGCAAACATCTTTCTTTAATCAACATATTTCTAAGTAGGACAAGAAAATATTTGATCTAGCATACATTAGCTACACTTACAAAAAAGTGACATGAAAATTTAATTTACAACAAAAGATTTGTGATTACTGACCCTTACTAACTCATTGTGCCACCATGTTTGACACCCCATAGAGAAGCATAGATTTAACATTTGAATTATATCTTAGAACATTTGAACATCTATTATTCATTGTTGAATTCTCCCTTGACTTTCTGTATTCTTGTTCTGATGTCTTCATTGGTGCCATCCTCCTTATTAATGATGCCTTCATGGTAAGTGAATGGCTCTAATTTCTCAAGTGGCATTGCTCCTATGTATATTGGACGGCTGCTTTAAAATGCTGGTGTTAATCTTGAGGACTTTGGGTTTTATTCACACTGATATTTATTCTTATCTGTTTAGCTCTCTGGCTGAGCTTTGATGTTTTGTTTTGCATTTGAATGAAGATATGGGAAAGTAGTGTAAGATAGTCTGAAAAATCCAAATCTTCTAGTTTGCCAGAAAGGTAACCATTGAATTCCAATCTTAATCCTATTAGAGTGACTAATAGAAAAGAATTGGACTTACTTGCTATTAGTCTCAATGGCTGAATTAACAACCCATAACAAGTCTTTAACCTGGGGCTGTGTTTGCTGAAATAAACATTTATATTTACACAATGAGCCAAGAACTTTGATTCTTTTAACAAAATATTTTTAAAAAAAAAATAAATTAATATAGTGGTAACCATTTTAAAAACTTCAAATAAAAATACATTTGCCATCTTCCAATATTTTGAAAAGAGTTCACAAAAACAAATAAACTGAGGTAACAGTCTTACCACATATTGATCAATTGACAGTGCTGAAAACAGACTAAGAGCTATAGACTTATATAGAAGAGGTGAACACTCTGGACCTGATGCTTAAATGAAGAAAACAGAATAACATGATAAAACATGTGCAAATTTAGATCCAAGACTGAGGAACTGGTGCAAAGGATTGTAAATTTCATTGCACCACTCCTGAAACAGGTAAAATTCTATGAGAAAACAGCAGAGATATAATTTGTGATGTTGTTAAAAGCCTTAGGTAGTAAAATTATATGTACATAATTAAATCTTTTGGAATCTTAAAAAGCTGTCCTCCAACTACTCATTTCTAAAAACATCAATCACTAGCTCATTAACATAATGCATATAAAAAGGCAAACGTGGGATGAATGATTGCCATTATTACATATTTTTTTTCTACAATAAGAAGCTAAATGCTCTTCAAAAGAAGTAAAACCAAAAGCATTGCATTTATTCTTAAATTTCATATTTAAGATTTAGGAAAAATGATATACATAATTTTATGACCTACTTGTTATTATTAATCTTGTGAGAAAGTGAACGCCAAATGCTTGAAGAACAATTCTGCGATCTTCTTCTGTGAAACTATTCTCTCTCACATGCTGTGTAATCTGATTTTTTGGTGTATGAAGAATACTAAAAATCAACAAAAGTTGTGCGATACTGTAAAGATAGCAATTATTAATTTAAGAGAAAACTTACTCGAAAATATTTTAAGTCATTTCCTCTTGACCTGACTGAGGTCCACACACAGTTGAACAACTTTCTAAAAAGTCTGAACTCCAATTTTTTTATGTAAAAAATAATCCATACATATACTAAATTCAGTGAATTCCAGTTAGCGCTGAAACATTTTTAAAAAATGTTACATTAAGGTAAAAAGAATGGGAGTTTCATCAATAACCCATAATTTGGCTTTGCTACACTACCCATTGCCAAGAGATTGGTACCTAATAAAATTTAATGAAGAATAACTTATAACATATTGTCCATTGTGCCATTTGTTCTTTGAAATGCCAAGTGCAATTTAATGAAGGCCATTATGGTAGGCCTAATAATTTTATTAGTGTGATTGAGTTGATATAAATGATAAGGCAGCAAATATGTCAGTCTAAGTCTAATTTTTTATTGATTTGTTTTAAAAATACTAGTCTAGACCTAGGCTATTTAAAATATTTTAGTATAGACTCTAGGTATCCACATCAACATAGATGATAGGCCTTGATAAAAATAACATTAGATTGGCTTTTAGTACTTTAATTTTGTCATTGCAAATTAGAATGTAGTAAATTGTAGGCATTTTGAAGTTTTTTTTTGTATTACAACATTGATTTTACTTGCTCCTTGTCATACTTAGCGAAACTTAACTGTCTTAACTAGCTCTTTTTTTAAGTTTAAGTTTTAATTTTTGAATTACATGATTCATAGTTCATAGGCATAGGGCATAGAGTTAGAGAAATTGTCATTGACCTAGGCCTAGGGCTAGGGTCTCAGCATTTTTATAAATTAAATAAAATTAACATTAATACGAGTATAATATAAATAGTATAGTATTATTTATATTTTCAGATTTTAAAATTAAATATGCCTTGCCTTAAAACTTAAAATTATAGATTGGGCTTGGGCGGATTGGGAAAAGAATAATATTTCTTGAGCACATGACTGTATAATTTAAGTTTAAGTCATATTGATACTGACTTAACTTATACTTTTGACTTTAAGTTTAAGTAGAGGCTAGAGGCAGAGGACTTTGACTTTAACTTTAACTATCAGAATCAGAGTCTATCATCTTACTCTTACTCATGTTAGGCACTTCACTAAGCTGCGCGCGCCGGTCGATTTTTCGGATGCGAGAAACAGACCATTAACCGGCGACCGGTCAATGCCGGTAGGTCACAGGGTCATGTTTAGATTTCGTTTCTTTGTCTATGTAAGGGAGAGACAATGAACTTCCTATAGTCTATTTTGTGCCCACGAGGAGGACGATCATTACAAAATGAACTTTTTCACCGGACTGACAGGGCTTTTGGCAGATATCTTTCGTTGGGAAAACAGGTAATTTTGCTAGCGCTATATTTCGGAAACCATTATCGTATTGCAATCAATTCCTTTTGTATTGAATGTTAAAGTGATTTAACTAATTGAAACAAGAAACATATTGACATTTAGATAGGCCGTAAATTGTATAAACAGGGCGTTCGGGCGTAAATTTGAGCAATAGCTCCTGACCAGTTATCGATAAGGCCAAATGCACCGGAAGTGATAACCATTCTCTGTTATTATTATTCTTATTGCATAAGAAGTATTTACAAATCTTTATAAATCTATTGTTTTTAAAAGCAATCCAGTTCATTTTTATTATTAAACTCGTTTTTATTTCATGAATGAAAACAAATTTATAAATATTTATGAAATTTCATTTTGTAAAATAATAAAATTTACATCCGTGATAACCATGTCAAAACTATATGATATATCAACTTGAATTATTTAAATATATGTTGTAATTGTAATAATTATCAAACTTCACAACAGTGAATTATATAATTGGAAATTAAATAATGCCCTTACTGATATAATTTATCTTAAACCCAGATTAGATACGGTAAACAATGAATAGTTGTTGTAGTAATAGGCTCAGCAGCTACTAAACTAAATACTAAATGTCATCACCTATTTCGATTAAATTTCATTATTTTATTTACCTTTGTATTCTAAATAACCTATCTCTCTTTTTTTTCATTTTCCTTTTGTATACCCTATTTTTTTTAAAAATGTATATTCCTTTCTTGCCTCTAAACTCTACCACTTTAGCTCAAAGCTATTATATTTGACTTTTCAGACTTCGCCCAATCTTTACTTTGTATATGAAAAATGTTGTTAAAATTTCTTAAATTCCTCAGCATTTTCTTTCTTTTAAATACACAGCCTTTTTCAGCCATTGCAGCCAATTGATAGACGAGCTGTCTTGAGGACTCATCAAGACTACCAGACTTTTTTACATAAGTAAATTTATATCTGTTAAAGCTCCTTAATGACTTAATGATTAATGGATATGAAATACAAACTACTTGACTTAATCTGAATAAAAGTAATGTTAGAACATCACAGTATAATATCTATACATACTGGATATACAGCATAAGTAAAATAACCATTGTCTTAATTAATGAATAATTTAATTACAACATTATTAAACTACTGAATTACACAATCTTAAATTAAAGACATATATATATTAAATAAGGTACCTTATGTTAAATTGCTTATTTTGTGTTTAATTAAATCGATTTTCAATCTCTATTTCAGTTTGTCTGGACTACTAGACCACATTGAATTACAAGGAGTTTGTGTTGCGATGAAGCGGAAATAATGCCTCTTCTGCTTAGAGGTATTGACTTCCCAGCTGTGCCAAGTGTTGCTTCAGCAAAACATCTCTAGATACGTCTTTGGAATATTGGCTTCTAATACCAAAATGTGTCTGCACGTACAATTTCACTTAAATTGTTGTACCAGTCTTTCCTGTTTTAACAAAAACCTATCAGTTGTGACTGCATGTCCAACTGGACAATCCACCAGAGCATTATCTTAACAGCTATTGATATTTTTCACCAACTACCGCATTTATATGGCAATTTATACACTCAGGACTCCTATTTATCATCATGATGGGTGGAAGCAACAATATTGACATAAAGTAAACCATTGCGGAAAACCATTCATTACCAATGGTATCTACACTCGGGACTCCATTCATCTGTGTCATAAACTGAATCATTACCAATAACTGTTACAAATTGGACTCGGCCAACACATAACTTGTGACCATCATCTTTCTATGAAAGAAAATATATCTCTTTTATTCAGCCTTTCAATGAACTATAGACAATAGAAGTACTAAAATAATATTAAGTGATCATCATTTGTACTGTGGATTTCAAATAGCATGGCTACTTGGATATCAATTTCATGGATTGGATCATGGATGATTGGATTTTGATATATGTGATCAGCATTTTTTCAATGCTATTTATCCATTATAATACATTATTTTATAAATCTTTTCTGTGGAATTATTCACAGAATTAATATTAATTTACTAGATGATTGTGTGCATTAACACAATAGGTGGAATTGGTAACATTTATGCAATTTGTATTTTTAATGCACAAACAGGCTAAATTTTAGAATTAAATCTACTCACTCTCTGTTGCTCAAATGCCACTGATTTAATTCATTTATTGATATATTAATATTTAAATGGCTTATTATAAAAGCCCAATGCCTAATGAAACTATGCTGAAAATTTGAAGGCTTTAACTTTGCAGGTAAAATAGTTAAGCCATTTTGAGTATTGAGAACGGGCGCTCCATCTGTAATGAAATTTACTTACCTGCTGTTGTTCAAATCCCGCGCATTAATACATTAGTCAAAATATTAATATGAAAATGCCTAATTATACAAGCCCAATACCTACTTAAAATATTCTGACAATTTGAAGGCTTTAACTTTACAGGGAAAATAGTTATGGCATTTTGAGTATTGAGAACGGGCGCTATGTTTTTAATGAAATTTACGTACCCTCTGTTCGTCAAATCGCACACATTAATATGTTTATTGTATTATTTGCATAACAATGATTTATTATTAAAGCCAAAAACTTAATTGAAATGCGTTGCAAGTTTCAAAGCTTTAACTTTGCTGAATAAAAAGTTATCGCATTTTGAGTGTCAAAGATGTCTTTTTTCGGTCACAGAATTTTGGAAAATATTTACTAAGGCTATATAAGGAAAAATTCTGACACTAAAAATGCGATAACTTTTGTTCTACTTAAGATAGAAAGATAAAATAGGTATCAATGGAAAGGAAATACTGAGTCCTTTCTAATGATATAAGTTTAATTAATATATAACAACTTTGAAATTTTTAGTGTAGTACCTACTCATGTCATGACATAAAGCAGGTTATGCTTATAGGTAATGAATAAAATATTGGTAAATAATTAAATATAATATATCGATTTTATTGTTTTGTTTACACTGGTTACGGCATTATTTTGGAGAGGGTAAAACGGGTGAAGTTGAAGTTTCACTCACAATGTTTATTTATATTGGTAACTAGTCGGTGTAGACTTCCTAATTAAAACAGTCACTGACCTCAAGTAAAACTGAAAATCGTTCGCTATCTGATGTGGATTTTTCAACAAGCGCCAGACATTCATTAAGATTTAATCGAGATGCTTCCCTTCTCTTTTGTTCAGCGTGGGCTGCATACATGGTGAATGTGTTTATTTCGCACAAAGGTAACAAAAAAGCAAAATCATTTTTTCATCACGAATGGAGCTTTTCGGTTTAGAAAAGCAGTAATATTGAAAAGGACTCAGCAATCTAAAAATGTGCACAGAAATTATGGAATCGATTCAAACTTGCAAGAGGTACGAGTTGAAGGGAATAGAAGAGGACGGGGATTAGGGGACAAATCAGACATGGGTGGGAGTTACTCATTTATATGATCAGAGGCGTAGCCAGAATGTTTGGCGCCTGGTGACAAGTTTCTTTTTTTGCGCCCCCTTAATTCAGAAACCCAATATTTTCTTCAATAAATTAAAATAAAATTAAAGTCCATTTTGGCGCCCCCTCTTAGTCTTGCGCACGGGGACATCTGTCCACCCCTTCGCTACTTCATCGTTTAGCAGGTATACTATGCATTTTTCTTTCAGGCAGCTCTCAACAGTCCCTCCACCCTTGAACGAATCCCCAGAGCAGTGGTCCCCAAATGGCGGTCCGTGGACCTTCACCGGTCCGCATGCTTACCCTTGCCGATACCCATAACATAAATATTTATTGTCAAATAGAAGTAAAAGTATAGAAGTAAATCATGCACCGGCGCCTGGTAAAATTTCGAAACTTGTTGACCGGTCCACCAAACTTGCACGTTTGGGAACCACTGTCCCAGAGAACATTTTGAACAATTATTTCAATGTCGCAAAAAGTATTTAAAAAAAAAAAAATCAATTTTCACATGAGGGTAAAGCAACAAAAATTTAGTTTAAGCTGTTCAGGGCCAAGCGTAAAGTCTACAACGAGAAATACGTTTCGAATCTCTTAAGTTTATTATTATAATTAATTAATAAGCCTATATATAATAATATGGGGCCTACCTATATTTTTTTTTTTTTTTTAGGGTTGGGATGGGGGGGGGGGGGGTGTGCATCCTTCCGTCCCAATAAGACGATGGTTTAGACTTTGCAGAACGAAATCACAAGTCACGAGGCATAGGATTTTTTTTTATTAAGGGGTATAAGATGATTATCTAGAAAGCAAATCACGCCTCTATCCACACACCTGAATACGAAAGTAAACATAATGTGCGGATGGTACAGCTTGGCACATTTAAGTATAATTTTAATTTTATTGTAAAAATTTAAAAAAGTAACACAATTAATTGTTTACGGATCCAACTTTTGTTTCTTATTAAGTCATTTATAATTTTAGGGACGCCCATGGAGACGTGTGTACGGGTGGTTTTTTTCTGGGGGGGGGGTGGGTGGTGTTGGTACACCATTAGTTTAGCATGGTGTGTAACGCCAACCCTGTTAACGCTACTGACACGACTTGTCTTACTAATGCATCACCATGTCTATTAATTAATACGACGTGGGGCGCTGTTGTCAGATTGATATTTTGTATTCATGAAGGGGCCGTATTGCTTTTAGGGGGGGGGGGGATCGTGTTTTATTTGGTAATAGCGATTATTATCTGTTATGTCTCGTAAATTGTCGATTCCATAAAATGCTACATCCCCATTGGTTAATCAGCTCCGGCGCTCAAAGCCGACTTTAGACATAGTTACGGAAGAAAGGTTTCTGGATACCTCATCTTTTTGTCAGGTTGTAAATATATCTCTGACTGCCCCCACCCCAAAGCTAACAAACAGATTAGACGATGCTTAAGACATGGAGGGGGGGGGGGTTCAATCTGTTCCTAAGATAGGACTTAAATAGTGAATTAAACTATAAAATCACTGTACTTCACATCGACAGGGGGTCGAAAAAAAATGTATTTTTTACTGATCCCCAGGGTGGCACTTTTTTCGATTTATTCAGGGGCGCGATATTCAGAATTCACCTCGTGATTTTCCTCTGCACGGGTGCCTTGGGTTACAGTTATTCAGGGGCGCGATATTCAGAATTCACCTCGTGATTTTCCTCTGCACGGGTGCCTTGGGTTACAGTGGATTCCTCAAAGGGGGGGGGGGCGCAAAATATTAAATGTGACAAGGGTAACTCACTTGAGTACTATTATTAGCTGTTTCTAGTTTCTAACTGATACACACACATCTTCTGGTTGAGGCTTGAGCTTAGGCCTACGGTCTTAAAGCCCTGGCTAATATATTGCCAAAGTCAACCAGTTTCATCTGCTGGGCTGTGCCATATAATATCGTCATAACGGAGACTCTCCTGCCGCCCTGGCCTCTCCTGCCGTCCTGGCCTCCCCGCAACATCCAGTGCAGGGCACGAAATCAGCAGATGAGCTAGTGTCTCATAAGTGAGCCATAATTCATATGTCATGATTACCAACTCTTTGTGGATGGCTAGGCCTATCCTTTTTAACAAAGTGGAATAAGGATAAAATACCTAGAATAGCCTAGTAGTAGTAGAAAGAAAAGAAAAAAAGTGTGGTGGGTGGGGGGATTGGTAGGCGTTGAAATAAGACTGTTGTCACATACTTTACGAAGTATATGGAGATTGTAACGTCATTATTATATATTTAATTGGTAGTTAAGTATTTAAAATGTTATTAAACTTATGGAAGTAGCACACACATTTTGAATACATTCAGTTCATTCAGAGACAAAGATTTTCAGGACATATAGATAGTCCTACTCGTGATGAACCAGATTTACAGTTCGTCGCTCACTGATGGATATGGAGCCGCGGTAATCTGGCGACTAATTTAATAAAGAAATTGTTTTTGAAAAAGAAGAGAAGAGAAAAAAAAAAAAAAAGCGCCCAACGTGGGGCTCGAACCCACGACCCTGAGATTAAGAGTCTCATGCTCTACCGACTGAGCTAGCCGGGCACAGTTTTGAGGTTATAGTTTAGCTATTTATTTTATATGTGTACATTTGTCCGTGTTCGGTTTTTTTAACATTTTCTTAGAAGACAGACAGAAAAGTCTGAACTGAAGAGTGTGTTGTGTTGTGTACTTCCAGTACTATTTTAGTCTTTGTTACTATCAGTGATTGTATTCATGTTTATTACTCACTATATTATTTGAATATGGCTATTGTTGAGCACAGTCAGTTTAGTCTTAGTTAAGTGAGAGATGATATTTTAGTTTTAGCCATGTCGCTAACCTTGACTTTGCAAAGGAAATGTTAAATTGTCCATTTACGAGAAGACTATCGCAGTTATACTTTATAAAAGTTTATACTACACACTGAACACTTCACTTACTTACACCCACTGACGCCCACTGTGTGGGCCATACCTCCTGAATGTATTAAGTGTAATTCAATGAGTTGAACAGTCAGTTAACTAGGTAAGGACAAGGTAGGGGTAGGTTTAATTAAATTTAATTATTAATTTTATCTCCTTATTATAATATAATATAATGTAATATAATGAAATGGCACTGGAGTCTGTAGTGTAGCTTGGACTACACTAAGTCAGGATAACTTTTAAAAGTCCAAGGTACTATCACTAACTTTACTAAGTTGTTTAAGTCACTACTAACAGGGACGGCTTACTGGCTTAACAGCAATGAGGGCATTTGAGGGCCTTAGCCCTGGGAAAAGTAAAGTACTAGTACTATTTTCCTTTTGAACTCTAACCCTTCCATGTAGTTGGTAAAACCTTTCGGGCCATGAATCATGACCAGTGTTTCACACCAATTTAATCAGAGGGCAGGCACTTCGGGTATTTTTTTTTTTTTTTTTAAGATGGGGACACCTATTAGCACAAAAATTAGGCATTGAGACGCACAGGGCCAGCTCTGACTCTGTTGCCACCACCATACTTAAACATAAATTAACTCTGGTTTCGTCAACCCCTTAGTCTTAGTCTTAGTGAATCATAGTGAATGCTTTTGGCCCCAGCTTAGTTTCACCCCTAGAAATTACATAGTCCAACTATAATAAATACTATATAGGCCCTACATTTACATACCAAACTAAAGGAAAATCATATTTTTATCAGTTCAAGAAAATCTTTTTAATTACTAATATTTAGAGCTTTTTTGTAGATAAAAAGGTGCTGGTACTGTCACTTTGATCAAGGAGGGAGCAGAAATTGAGGGTGGCAAGTGAAACAGGGTGGGGTCTGGGAAGGGAGCTCATTGAGCTCCTCCCCTTGAAATTTTTATAAATTTAAAAGTCATAGATGCATTTAGTGCATACCTGCAATGGGTTTTACATCATTCTACATTCAATCGGCAAGCAACAGAAAAGAAGCTAGTGAAAAGTTAGGTTCCCTTGATCTGGATGTGTTAGCAAATCCCTTGTAAATGTTTCTATAAATTACCAGTGACCAGTAACATAAAAATATAACAAATATTCTTTTTTGGGAAAATTATAAAGATAAATGTGAAGAGATAGCACCGCGTTTTTTTACCATGGAGAATTTATGTCCTAAATGTATCCCTAAACCTAACCTGAACCTTAAATCTATCCCTAAACCTACACTTATCCCTAACCTGGGTTTTGACCCTATCAGATTGGAACCAGGGACAAAACATGCATATGATGTCATGGTGCTATCTCTTCAAATTAGCCAGTATAAAGTTTTTTGTATGGCTTTTAAAATAAAACAGGTCATTAAAAAAAATTATATAAATGGGATAATCATGTAAGGGAGAAATTTAAAAAATGCATCAAATATTTTTTAATGTATGATTTATCTGAGGTAAGTTAAAGCAGTATAAATTCTTTAAAAATTCAGTAAATTGAATGTTTTTTTGTCACTTCAAATAACTATATATTTATTTAGATAAATTATTAATTAATGAACATATGGCGCCTATTGTAAAACCCTTTGATTGACCATAACACATTTGTGTCCCCCAAATCCCTAGATTTTTTAAATTGATCATTTAAATTTAGAATAAATAGTGGAACAAAATATGTTTAATCTTGAAAAAAAAGAGACCGAGCAATAACAAGGACTTTTGGGTGTAATGCCTCCTGCATTGCATAACATAAAAAAAAACAACAAATAAATAGAAATTAAAAGCTTCAATGTAGTTCTTTCAGCCTCTGTTTAGAAACAAAAAAACTCTGTTAGAAACAGAAGTAAAGTTGTTCAAATCTAAATTTTATCTTGTTCCACTATTTACTTACTTAACACAGCTTCAGATATTTTATCCTTAAAGCTTTAACTAAAGAAAATTTTTCTATGACTTGTACTAAAAAGTGGAGTTAGCTTAAAAATAGAGAAAGTTATTCACACAAACTTGGTAAATGATCTTCCCACAGCAGTTTAAAAAAAAAGAATTGAATAATAAATTGAATAATTGATATGTATTAACAATATGAGTATGAGGAGTATGATGACCCTAGAAGCGTGAGGTCCACAGTTACTGCCCAGTAAGCCTATTCTTTAAGGCAGCATTGGCTACTAAGCCTTGATAACTGCTTTTTGCATTAGCCTCTTCCTACGAGGAGTTACAGAGTTAGTAAAGCCTAGCCGAACCTTCTTTAATCCATTTTACTATTTGATTTGTCGAATCAGGTTCTTTCTTATAGAAATGTTAACTAAGTATTAAATTAAATTGGTGGGTTTACTTGAAAAAGGATGAATAGGAAGTCATGTAGCGTGAAGGCTGGTCATTTTGATATAACTTTTTTTGCTTTAGTCCTGCTCAATCAAAATTTTTTAATGATTATTAATATGATTTGGGCTTTAAGAATGCACAGTTATTAATTTCTATCTACTAGTTGTTTATTCCCCTTTTCTTGTATAAGTTATATTTCAGTTACTGTGGTATTGAGGACTTGTATGTTACTGGTAAAAATTTGGTTGAATCTGAAATGTTCATCCCTTTTTAACAGGATAAAGATGTATATTCAGCTTAAAGATGGATGAATATTCTCAAGAGTTTGTCAATGAAGGGCTGGCCAAAGAAAACCTGGAACTACTTTACCATTTCTATCAGTCAAGAGAGCTTTGTGATGTGGAAATTAATGTATGTAAAGATGTAATGCTAAAGTAAAAAAAAAAAAAATGTATTCTCATCAAATCAAGGCATTATTAAATAAAGACATGGATAAACCAGAATATTTAGATTTTAAGAAATCCTTCTGTCCACAATTATTTGCAAACATGCCATAAATTATGATAACAATTTTTAGGCAACTTTTGACCACCTCCCTAAACCTTTTTAACAACTGTCAAATTTTCAAAGACCCCCCTCCCCCAAACCACCATTTATGTAAAAAAATCTCCCCTCTCTCTCTCTCTCCTTCTCCCTTTCTCCCCAACCCCGATTTCAATATCCATGTTACTATCTGATTTTTCAAATCAGGTTCTTTCTTATAGAAAATGTTAACTAAATATTAAATTAAATTATTAAATTGGTGGCTTTACTTGAAAAAGGATGGATGGGATGTCATGCCGTATAAAGAATTAATAGAGATCTTTTTAAATGCTTATATATGGAAGTCAGTTGGGAACAACAAATTTATTATGGTACATTTGCAAAGCTTTTAAAAAAGATATAGTTTGTAACAGTTCGAATATAGAGTCAATTTTATATGGCAGAAATAAGTGAAGAATTATAAGGTTTAAATATTATTGTTTGTAAATGTATTACTATTTGTTTCATCTTCACATTGATAAGCCTAATGTTCATCGTTTGCAATAGCGCATAATAACAGATAAATCAATTATCATTGGCATATTAATATTGTTATGGAATCTGTTGACATTATCTTTGTCTCTTTTGACCATTCAGCGCTTAAAATATCAGCATTTTTTTGTTGAGGAGCAGATGGTTATTTCTTAGGACCAATAATGTACCATCAGTGTAGTTCCAATCACTTAAAGCTGTACAAATTTTTATAACCATTAAAATTATGAAAATTATTTTGCAACTAATTATCTAGGCCTATTTATGATTATAAAATTTGTATATTATAGGTACATATCAAATAAAAATAGAATTGTTAACATCAAACTTTTTCCAACCCCTCCTCCCCTTTATTTTTTTTATTTTATCCTCTTAAAGGCCATCCATAAACAACGTCACCTATCTAGAGGGAGGGGGTCACAAATTTGTGACGATGTATTGTGAGGGTTTCCAAATTTGTTTTAAAAATCTTTTACAAGGGTGGAGTGGGGGGGATGTCAAATATTGAAAAAAATGTAACATTTATAAATGGCCCCTTGCACCAAAATCTAAGTTGTAAAAGAAGTAAGAATTTTTGCAATAACTTACGGATCATTTTTAATACTTCCATATTTCAGGTTGGCAAAAAGCTTTTCTTCTGCCACAGACTGGTATTGGCATGCGTATCTGAGTACTTCAGAGCCATGTTTCAATCCCAGATGACAGAGGCTACTGAAAGATCCATAAGTATAAAAGACATAGAAGAGGATGCCATGGAAAAATTAATTCAGTATGCTTACACATCCCGCATAAAGCTCAGCACAGATAATGTTCAATCCATCTTGTATGCTGCTTCAATTTTACAGATTGAGACGGTTGCCAATGCCTGTAGCAATTTCATGCAGTCACATCTGCACCCAACTAACTGCATTGAGGTATGGATAAAATTTCTTTTGAGAAGTGAGATCAGGTTCATATTTAGATCTTAAACTTTATCAAAGAAGAAAATTTGTAGGGTTTTGTTTTTAAATTTTTAAGCAAATGCTATTGATTTTTGATGTACCATGGTTATTTTAGTATTAGTATCTTTTTAAGGCTTTCTTTGATTTAAATTCAATCATAGTGAGTAAGCCCAACTTGTCTTTTAAAGTAGACTATTTTATATAACCATAAAATGTTTTTAAAACTATTTTAAAATTTACTTTATATTAACATAAATGACTTCATATATTATTATAAATATGTTTGTGTGTTATAAAATTAAATTAAGAAAGCCAAGTAGGCTCATGTGTTTATGCTGGCTAAGATTATCACAAATTATATAGAAACAAACGGCTGTAACTCCCTTTAAAATTACTGTCGCAGGTTAGAAGCTTTGCCGAGGCCCACAATCGTGTGGAGCTGATCAAGACCACGGACAACTACATAAGAGACAATTTCATTTCTGTGTCCCAAAATGAAGAGTTCCTGTCAATGCCAATAGAGATCCTCGCATCACTGGCAGCATCAGCTGATCTCAATGTCGACTCGGAAGAGCAAGTCTACACAGCCATTTTGAGTTGGATAAAACATGATACGGAGAAACGTGGCGAGTTTCTATCATCATTACTTGCCATGGTGAGTCAGCCGTTACGGAAACAAAAACAACTCTTTGTTTTTCTTAAAGAGGTTAAACTATTGTATTTCTAATGTTAAAATGATATTGTTTTTAAAATTGCTCAAAATATAAAGTAAGTTTTTTTAAAATCAGCCATTTCATGCTGATTTTGTTATAATGTATCAGTTTACACTCCATAGCCAGGGAGCCATGCATCTTAGCCTTAATCAAACTTTCATTATCATAAATCTAAAATATTTGAATTTTACATTTATGTACCATTGTATGGTTTTGCAAATTTAGTTTTAAGATTTGAACATGTTGAACAATATGTAACAAAGGACAGAAAACAACTATACAAAGAAAAATTATAACAAAGCTAGTGATATTAACACTATGCAATTTAATGATACTTTTAAATTTATATAAAAATAAAAAAATAAAAAGACAGAAATGAAAACTATATCAACAAGTGAACAAGTACAATCCTTGAGATATACAAATATTAATGTACACATAAAGAGTACAATCTTGTAAGTATATTGTCTTTTATATGTCTAGGAAAAATAGCAAACATCTCTCTCTGCTGGGAAAGCTTTCAACTTATTTATAGGGAGGGAGTAAGAACCCCCCAGGAAAGAATTCTAGAAATTGAATGACCCGAAGGCATTCTCTAGAACAAATAGAAAGTAAACAACCTTTTCCCAACCAGGATGGGGTTGGTTCAGCAGCACAGTGCTGTGCATTAAATCAGGGACATTAATATCAAAACAAAAAGGGAGAAAGAGGTGTAGGAACGCTTTAGCTCTAGGTTCAAGTAAAATTAGGTCAAGACACCTCCTATAATACCTATGTTATAATAATATCAAAAACTGCAGAGTCAGAATATTTTTTTTTTTTTGCACACAGATCAAGCTGCCGCTTTTGAATCCAACGTTCCTTGTGGAGCAGGTTGAGAAAGATGAACTCATTCGCAATAACCTGAAATGCAGAGATTTACTGGATGAAGCCAAATCCTACAAAATGTCACAGGCCAGCCTTGTCCCTGAAATCAACATCACAGAGAGATCACGACCAAGAAAAAGTTATGCAGGTAACACTAATTAACACTTTCAGAATGCTGAATTTTAAAGAGACTTTGTCTTGGATCAGGAGTCTCCAAATTAGGCAGGCTGCAGCAAGTGTGAATTAAATTTTTATCAGCCTATCGAATGATTATATTATTATAAATACGGTATATATTTATAAAAGCAGCACATTTTTTAGCGTGTTAAAAATGGTCTGCCAACATCTGACAGTTGTGCAGTTTCCAAAAATAAACGCAGCAAAATTTTGAATAAAATAAATGAATTAGTGCTCCTGTATATTTTTTCATGCATGCCTTCCAAAATGTAAGTATAGCTATTCAAATAATTAATATAGATTAAAGTTGTAGCACATTTAAAAATTATTTGGAGATTCCTTATCCTTTTCATCATTCACTCTTTTTAAAGGCATATCTTGTGTAAATGTCAAGTTCTTTAACATAGGCACCTAATCTTCCAGATATGGCATGTGCCATATACAGTAGGAGGTAACACCTCAGGTCTATAGAGCCAAGTAAGCTTGCCCTGACTCATCGATTTTCAAATTATAAACTTTTGATATAAAACCTGTAACCTATATTAAATAAAATTTCAATCTGTGGGTTTATTGTTATTTCTATAGACATTTATGTTGTTAATTTTCATTTTATCCTGCATTTGGAATTTGAATAACTTATATTTAAAGTATCTTTTTCTCCCATAGTGTCGTATATTTATAATTCACAAGTTTATTTTCAAACAATGTAAATTTTTGAGATTTCATGACTTCCATGAAAGAGACTTTGTTGAATTTGACTAAAAGACTGGGTTTTTTTTAAGGTGTTCTTTTCTGTGTTGGAGGCAGAGGTGCGTCTGGTGACCCATTTAAGAGCATTGAATGTTATGATCCTCGGCAAGATAAATGGTTTCCTGTTGCTGATATGACAACAAGGAGACGACATGTAGGAGTCTGTTCCTACAATGGTGATTGTTTTAATTAACTTATACTTATTTATAATTATATAAAATTTATTTTCTAATTGGGCTTCCCAGATTTTAATTTATAAAAAACCAATACAATTGTAGTGACCCCATTTATTATTATATTGTTTAGTATTTGAATGAATATGATGTTTATTGATGCATTTTTGAATGTCTTGCTACCAAGACATTTAAAAAATTAACTAACAATATAATAATTAGTATTTAGTAGCCATCAAAGCGTCTGAGATGGAAAGGATTAATGTAAGCACATTTTTCCTCATCCAATTTTTTAATAATTTTCCAAGGCTTTTTGTATGCTGTTGGGGGTCATGATGGTGTAGACCACCTACGCAGTGGAGAGGTGTTTGATCCCAAATCAAACACATGGAAACCTATTGCTCAAATGGAGACTCTGAGGTTAGTCAAGACTGCTGAAATAGCAGTTCTTTATAATATATACTCTTATTTTCATAAAGATCTATTAAATAAAATTTAACTGAGATATTTGTAGCAACAGATGGAATTGGGGGTTTGAATGGGCATCTACATTTAAAATATTTTGTCAGCCCTACGTAGGCTCATAAAATTTAAAGTGATTATGATACCTTACATCACATTTGTTGAGCATTTGACCTCTACTACATAAATATAAAATAGGTAATTGTTTCCAAAACTCACAAATTTGTGTGTAAAAATTTGGAGGCAATCCTAAATGCACCCTAATTTTACATTCACAAAAATAATTTGAATGTGCTGGAATAAGCATAAAGAAATAATTCTTCAATAGAAGTCACAGCTATAAAAATCTTATGCAACACTGAGCTACAAATGTAAAATTAGTCATGATTTTTTAAACGATTACCGGTATTTAAAATCTGCTCTGCAAGAAGAAAATATGTAGGATGGTGTTAATTTGTCTACTGCAATTCAATCTTGAGTTGGAGAAATCCAATCATTTGCAGAAAAGTCCTGTTGAACTCGGCCTGTTTTGTACAAATTTTAAACTTTTGTATGTATGTTTCAGGAGAGGAATAGCCCTGGCATGCCTAGGGGATGTCATATATGCTGTGGGTGGTCTGGACGATGCAACTTGCTTCAACACAGTAGAGAGGTATGACCCAAGCCGTGACTCCTGGAGTTTCATTGCACCTATGGAAGTTCCCAGGGGGGGTGTCGGTGTTGCCACGTTAAAGGTATACTTTTAAAAAATACATTCAACTTAATAACATATTGCACCGTTTTTATTTAACAGAGTAGACATTGATCAGAATCAGCATCATCATTTTTGTTCATTTTTTTGTTTACATATTGGCAGAGCTTGTTTTAGGTTAGTTTGTCCTATTTGTATAGCAGAGCTTGTTTTAGGTTAGTTTGTCCTATATGTATAGCAGAGCTTGTTTTCGGTTAGTTTGTCCTATATGCATAACAGTGAACCACGATTTTCAACATTGTGAAGATGAGTGATGATTATTAAATTCTTTTCATTTTTTTCTGTCACTGCAGTATGTAATGACCCCTTGACAATATCAGCCATTACTTTTATTTACTATATACTTTTTTATTGATTGTTAAGATTTTAGAATGTACTTAATTCAACCCCTATCACATATTAAAAAACTAAAATTAATTACCCCAATCTTTTTGGTTTAAATTAAATTATTTCTGATAATTCATTTATACTATAATCTTTCTGCGGATGTTGATCTTATTTCAGTATCTCTACCTATTATTTTATAGGGTCATCTGTATGCGCTGGGAGGTAACGATGGGACCAGTTCGCTTGACAACTGTGAAAAGTATGATCCCTATTTAAACAGGTGGAATCCCATTGCCTGCATGCACAAGCGCAGAGCAGGGGCAGGAGTGGCCGTTCTCGATGGGTGCATATATGTTGTTGGTGAGCATCACATATTTTTTTAATGTTGGGAAAACCACCCATTGAAACATATCCGGATCCATTAAAAAAAGTATTTAATTTGTTAAAGGTAATGCAACTTGGATTGATCACTGTAAGGCTGTGCTAATATATTAAGTTGATCACTGCTTGGTTTTATGATCAAATCAGCAACTCATAGTTTCAAACTGGGGGTCATTTAGGAAAATTAACTTCATAGCTTAGTGTTGTAGCGAAGACAAAATAAGAAATAACATGTTTATTAAGCCAGGTATGTAATGGTGTAATTATTGAGAATCACTACCATGTTAAAAGCAATATTACTATTAAAAAATACCAATTTCTAATTTGGGATTAGTTTTTGACGGCAAGCATTATTATCCTTTAATGAGGATACTAATAGACTTGCCTGTTTGTTGAATGGGACCATTTAAATGTAATTTGTTACTTCCACTTTCCCAGTTTTTTGCGTAAAACTTAATGGTTTACACATTCCTGATAATATTGCAGTGTGGACACACACAGAGTAGAGTTGGTTTTGTCCCCTATCATTGTGGTATATCATTTGTTTCAAACTTTTCATTACCAGGTGGCTTTGATGACAACTCGCCCTTAGATTGTGTGGAAAAATATGAGCCAAAATCAAACAAGTGGACATTAGTTGCAAGCATGTCTTGTTCTCGCGGTGGAGTGGGAGTCAGTGCACTCGGGGGGAGACTTTACGCAGTTGGTGGCCATGATGGATCCAACTATCTCAACTCAGTGGAAGCATTTGATCCACTGACAAACAGGTAATTTCATTGTTTTTATCAAGTGAAAAAAGACTGATTAATTTATCTTATTGACTTCAGTGTCTAAATGTAGTGCTCTGAAAACAGGAACATTTTTTAGGTCAAGTATGAGCATGTCATCGCACTCCTTAGTTATCTGCAAAATAAATACAGAATTGAAGCACAATTGTAGGAAGCATTAAATGTTAAACACCTGTTCGTCTTTTTCAATCACTTCATTCTTTGATGGGTTATAACTGTTAGTTAATGAAATGTAGAAATTGTATTGGCGTCTCAGAAAAAATTAACTCTTGTTTAGTGTACTAACTCCTGATTGGAAAACTCTGTAATGATTCTATTAGAAAACCTTATATGTTTCTAATAGAAAACCATGTATGATTCGAGTAGAAAATTTTGTATGATTCTAGTAGAAATCCCTGCATTATTCTAATAGGAAACACTACATGATTCTACTAGAGAACCCCTTTGTGATTCTTTTAGAAAAACCTGCATGATTCTATTTGTAACCTATGAATGTTTCCATTAGAAAACCCCTTTATGATTCAAGTTGAAAACCCTGTATGATTCTACTAGAGAACCCCTTTATGATTCTACTAGAAAACCATTCATGATTCTATTAGTAAACCCTGTGTGATTCTAGTAGCAAACCCTGTATGATTCAAGTAGAAAATTCTGTATGATTCGGGTGGCTAGAAATTCTATCCCCCTGAATTGTACAGGGTATTCTACTATAAGGTTTTTTTGTAAATTGTAAATATTTGCTTGAGAAATTTTCTTACAATATATAATTGATGATGATTTAATATAATCTGTTACTTTTGACAATCTGTTAGTTGAAGTGAAGAATATCTGGTAATTAGTAACAGAGCATTGAAAAGAGGGTTTACATTTTAATTTTTTTTTATCAGGTGGGAACCAGCCCAGGGCATACAACAGTACAGAGCAGGTGCAGGCGTGGCCTACTGCGATTGTTCCCCCAAGTTGTTACGGCATGTTACATCGGCAAACACAACTGGTCACTTATAAGGCACATCAGGTGAAACTATTCATCTATTGAAATTCTCCTCTAAAATTCTGGTTACATCACTGAAGATTTTATCCTATTATGAAAACAAGATCAATGTTTTAATTTTTCTTTGTTTTCTAATAAGTACTCATATGAATTAATTTAACATAGGTTTATCTCTAAAAGAACCTCATGAAATAATTGAGTGCACATGATCATCAGTCCATTATATTATTTGTGATCTTCACAATGATGTAGCAAATAAAATATAGAATATTAAATACATTGGAACTAGTATTTATAGATTGTATTCCTGATATTTATTTTGTTTCTATGAAATTTCTATCCATGTGGCCTCTTCAAATCAGCTTTTTTAGGAGTAGGGTTTTATGTTTTCTATCCATGTCATTTACTTAAAAAATTTTTTAATTTAACGACCCATTAATTCTTTATTGAATTTCAACAAGAATGACTGAGAACATGGGTGTATCTATGACAGTTATCGATGAATAGCCTATGTAAATGCATTTAATTTGTAATATTTTTGCTAAACATTAAGCTAAGGCTGGTTTATTTATCATGAATTCCTTGATCAATGCCCATCAATTTTTAAAAAAAATTATTCCATGAACTAGATTCCGACAGCCGCTTGGAGATCACTTATCATCATTTCAATAATCGATAGCAACACAAATGTGAAAAATGCATCATTCGAAAGAAATTCAAATTTTTAAAAAAAAAATATTTACATGTTCGTGCAGCTTTAAATTTTTTAAGTAAGGTGCTTGGAATATATTATTTTCATCATGTATCAAATTCTTTTATACTATGAGCTGTTGGGGGGTGCTATTTTCTTTTATAATGATAGCCAAATAATACATTAATGTTTAAGTGGGTCTTATATTTTTCCTTCAACTTATTTTCTAAAAATTTAATTGTAGAATTCAGTTTAACCTACAGTAAAATAATAATCTGATGTGTTTCTTTGTGAAACTTCGATACATTTTTAAAAATAAAATGAAGCTATCACAATTTTTTAACTTTAAAATTTTTAATCCCTAAATTTATTGCCATATTATTATACACTAACAACCAGATATATGTTTTGTTTAAAAAAAAAATTAACAGAAAAGTATGTGATTGAATTGAATATTTGTTTATCATTTCAGACCACATATATCTTAAATCTTGTGATATAAAGCTTTGACAGCTTGCTTAGAAATGAAATTACTTGTTATTTATTGATTGATGATAACATTGGGGGCCATTGAACATTTTCATACACTAAAACATAACCCTGTGAATTGTTTGCTAATTAACCTTCTGAAAAATTTAAGATTTTTGTTTAAAAGTAGTTTTTCTCTGTTCACATTAAATCTGTGTCTTTCTCAAATTTAAAAAAAAGAGATTTTAAATAGTTTCAAATGAGAAAAGTTTCTTTCTTAAAATTTGGAAATTTCACAGGTTCTGGTTGAAATATTATTAGATAAAAATGTATGTCCTATTGCTATGGTAATAAAGTTAAATGACATCTTAAAATATAAATCTTAATATGATATTGTTGTTCCATAATTTAACTTTACCAAATGTAATATCTTGCAGAGCTATAGGCATTGGCCCTTACTCAACCGTTAATCCAAGATTGTCAATACTCTCTTGTAAAACATTGGACAATGCCTGAGATTAAATTTGTTGCTCTTGAAATTTGGTGCACATTTGAAACTACTGTTTTATTTTCATATGATATCAGGTTGCTCGTGTGAAATGGAAGTTTGAATAATTGTTTCACGATTCTGAAGAAAATAAAATTTTGTAAAAAAGGGGTGCTGGGTACCAGAAATAAATCAGGATAAAATAAAAGGTTTTTGTCCCATGATATTGTTATGATAATAAGCCAAGCATTTAGGAATGTCTGCAATTGTCTCAGGTACTGGTACGCTAAAAACATTTACTTTCCTGTATTTTGTTTGTTTGATGACTCATCTAAAGATATCCCATCCAAGAAGCAAGAAAGCCACTATAATTACATCTAAAGTCATTCTGGGTAGTTGGAGAAAACCTTTTTTCTTTTATTAGTCAAAGAATTAGCTTTGTAACAGTGTTGTGGCACGATGTAGCAAATATCACTTTGTGGGGGTTATTTCTTTTGAAAACAGTCTAAGCCTCAACGCTGAACAATACATTTTTTTTGTACGTGTTCAATATCAGTGCTAAACACCTTATGAGTTTCAACTGGACAACAGAACCATTTTATTAATTGAACAAAATGCTTCAATGACATCCAACAGAACACAAAAGCAACAACTCCAAGTTAATCCCTTTTGGCTGGTATTTCATTGTTGATATATTTTCAGCTGTTACATTGATATGATAGAATAAAGCAGACACACGCTCCCAAGTCTTGTTCATGTCATGTTTCAGTACAACAATTTTTGTTCACTGTGGTCGTGAATAGTTCATTGGTGTGATGTATTTAGTTTTTGTAATTTACTGTAGAGTTACTTTGATATAATTTCTGTGCCCCTGTCTGTTCTCTGACAGTGTCTGCCTCAGGATCTGGTGGACTTTGAACAAATCCAATGTCACTCATTCTGTGTTCTGCTTGTGGAATCTTTTCAGTCTCCAAAAGTCCCTGATTCAACGCTGTCTTCTGTGCTCAAAAGCCCCAGATTCAACACTGTCTTCTGTGCTAAATCAACCCTCAGATGATCAGATTTAATGGCAACAACGAGGCTATCAACCTGAATACAGACGCCAGGGGACATTACCTTCCAGCTTATTTAACTTCTAAGATTCTAAGTGAAACTCATTTCCTCTTAGTTTTAAAAAAGTGTTCTTCGTAGGTACAAAGTCAAATAACAGTAGCTTAGCTTCAGTGCCTTAGCTAGGGTTAGAGTCATCCTGGGAGAAGTAACATTTTTTGCCCCCCACCCCCCAAACAAAACTTGTTGGCCGAAAATGCCCCCCCCCCCTTTACAATATAAAGAAAGAAAAAAAAAGAAACATTTTTTGCCCCCCACCCCCCAAACAAAACTTGTTGGCCGAAAATGCCCCCCCCCCCCTTTACAATATAAAGAAAGAAAAAAAAAGTGCATTTCCAGACGCCCACCCTTCCTAACCACTAGTTAGCTCCCCTTTATGTTAGGAAAAATCTGTCAGTAAAAAAAACACCTTCTACCCTAAAACACACACAATTAAGCTATTATTTTACTGACTGTCAGTACGCCATTAAGTTTATCTGAAACGCTTGATCTACCACTCAGTGCACCCTGGTTGTTGCTTAAATTAAGCCGAGCGTAGTTGCTGTAGCGATAGTTTAAGTACCCGGCGTTGGTCAGCCGCTGCAGTAGCTTGGCAGAGGGCACTTTGCGGACGTACTTCTCCATGCGAACCACGTGTTGATCGTCTGTATCCAACATGGCTGGATTTATGCGTGGCCACTTTTGCATTTCTTGCAAGAAAAGGTACATATAAACTATTTTATTTCACAAATGGGGAAACTATAGGGATAGTAACGGAGAAAATCTCTGAACTATTATGAATAAACTTATATCCGTAGCCTATATATAATATCTACAATCTAGTAATAAGTAAACTAATTTCCGCACCATAAATCATGTAACACACTTCCAGACCCTATATCTAGTAAACATAATTCCACACCCAAGGCCTATATCTATATAATAAACATAATTCCAGACTCTGTAAAAACACGCTCCCATACCAGATTTAATATATTTTCCAGACTAAAAATTTTGTAAACTAAGTCCAGACCATAGAACGAACTTATTAGGCTCTATAGGCCTATATATATAAAAATATTTTTTAAGTTACAGCAAATTTATCATGCCGCTACATCTAATAAACAAACCAACCTGTGCTTCCACTATTCTCCTGGCCACCACTGTTGTTTGCCCTGTCTTTTCCATAATTTGAGCGATTCAGTCCATCCCCACCGCCATGTTTACTTTCAGTGCTACACTTCCTTCTACTTCTAGACAGACCTTGTGCATTTCCACTAACTGCTGGTGGATTCAATGTGTGCATTGACTTTATGACAGCTTTTGCCTCTGGCTCTATCTCTATTTAAAAACAAAGAACGCGTAGAAGGAAAACACACTTTTGATGGCATTCATTAGTTGTTTAATGATTAATGTTAAAACTTAGGCACATGAGCATATTGAGTCACTAGTGAATCTTGTAATTATGGTTGGTTACTAAGGGGAGGGGGCAGGGTTTCTTCCAAGTGCCCCCCCCCCCCCCCCGGCCGAAATATGTCCAACCAAAAACCACCCGCCCCCCCCCCCCCCCGAGCACAAATATGTCCAACAATAAATCAACTGGCACTCCCCCCCCTCTCGAAAAATCTGAAGTGCCCCGCGGGGGAAAATTTCTGAAATTATCACTGGGGGGAGGGGGGGTTGGACTGGGCCATCCAAAAAGGTCTCAGTGGGGCTGTCAGGGCTGGGGATATTTTGACCGCTTCTGCATTACGAGATATAACTTGCGTATTAAATCTCTATGCTTACAATAAATGTTTTCCCGTTCCGCTTGGACACTGCAGCCCACCACTGGCTAGGCTACTTCTCACTGGATTTCATGATTACAAGAGTACATTATATAATTTATTTTTGTAAAATACACTTAATGGATAGACCTAGACGAATCTTGGTAGAAGGGCGCTTAAAAATCTAAACTGAAAAACTGAAGGGTTTTGAACTCCTAATAACCACCACTGTCGGGGACAGGGAAACTCATTTCATTTTCCTTGTATGTGGAACGCTACATCTCCTACATTTTTTTAAAACCAATTTTAATGGAACAACTTTTAAATTTTTTATAATTATCCGATGAATTATTTGGGGTCCCTTTCTTAGTGATAATTAAAATGTCACCCCATGGAACAATTCCCCACCGGGGTCCTTATTTTAACTTGAATGAAAAACTATCAAATGACGACATTTTGTTTTAGATGTTAGCAAATCACGACATTTTGTTTTAGATGTTAGCAAATCACAACATTTTGTTTTAGATGTTAGCAAATCACGACATTTTTTTTTAGATGTTAGCAAATCACGACATTTTGTTTTAGATGTTAGCAAATCACGACATTTTGTTTTAGATGTTAGCAAATCACGACATTTTGTTTTAGATGTTAGCAAATCACGACATTTTGTTTTAGATGTTTTCCTCTCGAGATAATGGCAAGACAAAAAAGTCACTTTTTACAAATTATTTGAATTTGAAGATTTAAAATTTTTTTAAAAAAATGAATTTCCCAGTAAGTTCTAGAACTATATTGTTCCACGTAGGTATAAAGATTATGAACATGTGAATGTGATCTAAACGTTTATGGAATTTTAGATGAGATTTATAGATTTCTCTACTATTTCCTGAAATTTACCTGATGTCAGTTAATATATATTTTTGAAGTTTCTTGAAGCCTATATTCTAGAGTGATCAGTTTTTAAAAGGATTTTAAGATTATATAAATTTCCGTTTAATTTTTCTATAATTGTCAGATTTTTTGAAGTGTCTAGAAAGTTCTAAAGGAGTGTAGGAGGTTACTAATACGTATTTTCCTCATAACAGCCAAAATTATGTAAGAGGGTATACAAGATACTATACAAGAAGGTATACAAGAAGCTATACAAGAAGATATACAAGAATGTATACAAGAAGATATACAAGAATGTATACAAGAATCTATACTAGAAGTTATACAAGAAGCTATACAAGAATCTATACAAGAATCTATACAAAAATCTATACAAAAATCTATACAAGAAGTTATACAAGAAGTTATACAACAATCTATACAAGAATCTATACAAGAATCTATACAAGAAGTTATACAATAAGTTATACAAGAATTTATACAAGAAGTTATACAAGAATCTATTTTTTTAAGATGATACATCCACACCCATCTCATCGCAGATACACAGGTCACAGCTCGATTCGGGCAAATTCTTTCTCTTACACTGTAAAGTTAGGATTGAAAGAAAGTAAAAAGTATTTTTTTCCCCAGAATGCACGCATTTAAAACCGTGCTCCCCCAGCTGTTACCACATCTGGCTCTCCATTAGTGACAATAATTATTTAATTAGAGATCACTTTTGTGGCTGATTTCTACGATCGAGAAACATTTAAGATGTATTGTGGTTAAATTTATATAGTTGTATTTATGTTGTCTTGTTTAAAAATATGTATTTATTAAATTATCCGCTGAAGTTGGATAAAAACAATGTAATAAAAATACATTTCCATTTATTTGTGTCAATAAAGGTAAGAATCTTACCTTATAAGGCAGGGGTGGGCAAAATTTTTGTGCGGAGGGTCACATTGACAAATGTAAAGCTATTGGAGGGCCACATGTATGTTATGTCCAATTTTTACATGTCGATAAACATTTCTCTATATTGAAATCGGTAAATTCGCATTTTAGCATTACATGACAAAAGTCAAGGACTATTTTAAAAAATAGAAAATTAGACAGAAAGATGATCAAAAATGTTAAAACAATCATAACAGTACACCAAATCTGTAGAATTCAACAAAATAAATTTTTTAAAAATATTTCTAAATGCCTTTGAGGGCCGCATAATATCAGTTGCGGGCCACATGCGACCCACGGACCATAGTTCCCCCCCCCCCCTGTTATAAGGCATATAAAGTAAAAATATTAACCAAAAATAAAATTTTTAAAAATATTTCTAAATGCCTTTGAGGGCCGCATAAAATCAGTTGCGGGCCACATGCGACCCACGGAACATAGTTCCCCCCCCCCCCTGTTATAAGGCATATCAAGTAAAAATATTCACCAACATGAATAAGTAAGTGTTAATAAATAAGCAACCAATAAATTATTTTTTATCGTTTTGAACTTAAGTCTTTGAAAAACAATAATACTGAATAAATTATTATTATTATTATATATATATATTATTTTTAAAATTTTTAATATTCAAAAACACAGCCAATAGTAGCACAGCCAATAGTCAATAGTGGCACAGCCAATAGAGGGACAGCCAATAGTGGGACAGCCAATAGTGGGACAGCCAATAGTGGACAGTGGGACAGCCAATAGTGGACAGTGGGACAGCCAATAGTGGACAGTGGGACAGCCAATAGTGGGACAGCCAATAGTGGCACAGCCAATAGTGGCACAGCCAATAGTGGCACAGCCAATAGTGGGACAGCCTATAGTGGCACAGCCAATAGTGGGACAACCAATAGTGGACAGTGGGACAGCCAATAGTGGACAGTGGGACAGCCAATAGTGGCACAGCCAATAGTGGGACAGCCAATAGTGGCACAGCCAATAGTGGCACAGCCAATAGTGGCACAGCCTATAGTGGCACAGCCAATAGTGGCACAGCCAATAGTGGCAC